TACTGTAGTTTTCGTCAAGGGAAAGTTCTTTCACATCCTTGGTGAGATCCGAAAGGTTTTTTTTTTTTTTTTCGAGCTGCTCTCTTAAATGGAATGGAACTGATTTTAAATGTGTTTGTTTGTTTGTTTGTTTGTTTTTTGGCTCGTTTTATAGCTGTAGACTAAACTACACACGTCAAGCCCTTTGATCGTGCGAAAAATGACGACACTGATTTGGTTTGTGCGATTTTCTTGCGGGGCAGCTAGCTAACGTTTCCACAGTTGACATTCGTAACGGCGTTCGCGAAAAGCAGTATTAGGTTTATGGGATTGAACGACCGTTGTTTTGCGTTTTGTTCTTGGGATTTTTGACGGAATGCACCTATGAAGATTTTTCTCTTTGGCATGCTTTCCTCACGATTTCAGCCGATTCACATACGCAAACCTTCGAACGCACACTGGATTGTACATGTGGTGCTTGTCCTCACGGTGCGTGTAAATTGAGGTTTACCGCAGTCAGTGTTCAGTTTCGGAGCCGTGCGTCTTTGTAGATCTACACAGCGCAATCTTTCCGTTTGTGTTGAATTGATTCTAATATTGCAGAATGTCATGTGCAAAATTCACCGTCTCCTACAATGGACCCTGTGTAACCATCTTGTTCTTGTTTTATGTTTCCGTTCTCTAAAGAATTAGTATCTGTGTCAGTGTGGCTGCATTATTCCGGAAGGCTTTTCTGGATTCTCCTGGCTTTGATCACCATAAAATCTTTCAAAGACTTCAGTGACACGCAGGCAGGGGCACGAGGTGCTGGTCTCCTCTCGAATCCAAACGAGCCCTCATCCGATTGGCTTAAAAAAGGACGTGGAGTTGGGGGCTCTAGAAAGGGGCGGGGCTCAGTCTTAACTCCGCCTCTGCCTGTCTTCGCTGGCTCCTCCCACACGCCTCAAAGAACCCAAACTTGGAGGACAGCATCTCCAGGTTGATTGCGTTTAAGGACTTCGACATCTCTTTCCCTTCCCAAAGTACCTTTGTGTTTTTGAATTTGTAGACGCGCGGACGTAATTGCCGCCGTGTCCTTTTTATATTTTGCTCTTTACATTTATTTGCTGTATTTGAGGATTAAAAGGTTGAGCTTGATTCTTAATTAAACCATTTCAAAGTGAAGAGCTTTTTGAGTTCTTGTTGCCTCGTCTTTACGAAAGATTTTCCCAACCTGACCAAATCCTGGCTCATCCAGAGCTTTCGGGAACAATGTGCCACGTTTCATTCATTTAGAAGAGTATGCATGATAGGTTTGGTTGGTGACGAAAGGGTCTACAGTCTACAGCGACATCCACAGCTTGACGGCAATGTATTTCTTTCCAGACCAGAAAATCTAGTAGAAACTATGAACCATAACACCATCAGTACTGCCTTTCCATATGAAGCTAATTGAACAAAAATGAACTGCTCGCACATTTCCAGACACGCCGGTGACGCCAGGCGCTGCTGTAGTTTCATCGAGTGTAGAGTCCTCATGGGAAATCCATGTTCAACATTTTTTTTTTCTTACTGTATAATAGAGGTCGGCTGTTTTTATCCTTTTGTTTTCTTTTCATTTTCCTACACTGTTAATGGCAATAAATTGTATCATCTTACAGTGTTTGAAATGAATGTGTTGACATGGGATAACGGGATGAATTTATTCTGTGTCCTGTGAAGCTAAATGGTGTTTGAGTCATTTGAAGGGCAAAAAAAAGTTAGTTTACCTAAATTCAGCCTGGCAGTTGGTTTATCGCAGGAATTGTGTCGTAAGCTTCGAGAACAAGATAACAGAACTTGTATCTTTGTTGGGTTAACAATGGTCTTTACACTGAGTCAAACACAGGAAGTCTTTATTCTCAACATAGGAGACACGTGATGAGTGATTGTTTTGCATATGTAAAGAATAAAAGATTTGAAGAGGAGTCCCTGGGTTTGGGGTGTCAAATGATCTAAATACAAGGCAGTTTTGGGGGTGATTCACCAAAAAAACAAACTTTGTGAACCACATTCGAGTCTCTTCCTTCTGTTGAACACACAGGGAGATATTTTGAAGAATGTTGATTACTAAACAGGTGACTAGCCATTGACTTCCATATTTTTATGTTTTATTGCAGTGGCTACTTTCAATTATTTGGTTACCTTACTATTTTGTGCTCAACAGTAGAAAGAGACTCCAACATGTTGCAAACAACTTAAGCAAATAACAGTTTTCATTTTGGGGTGAACTGACCTTTTAATGTCTTGCGTTTCATCCTTAAAAAAAAAAATCAGGTTTGACGGGAATAAAAACGAGATTGTGTTCGATGTGTACTGTATTTTAACAACATGCCAATAGTTCAGCTGACACATTTCACTAGACAAAAACCCGTAAAATAGATTGAATGTTGAGTTTTGAACATTGCGTGATCCCGTACCATTGTAAAAGACTTTTACTTTGTGCAAGTCTATTCCTCACAGCCTTGTAAAATTAACATGCTGTGACTACAGGTGCATCTCA